GACCTTCTGGACAAAGCTGGGGCTGCAAAGGGAAGCCCGGTCCTGGGTGCCAGAGGGAAGCAGGTGCCGGCAGCTGGGGGAAGGAAGGCCTGCTCTTGCACGGATTCCGTGCGTCGGGCCTCTAGTCTCTAATAGGGTGATACCAATGAAAAGCTTAGTCAGCCCCAGTGAAACCAGTAAGATTTTGCCAGCTTCCTCCTGCTTCCCATGAGGAGGGTGAGGTGTGAGTATTCAGGAGAGACAAACCTTGAAGGCAAATTTTGTTGAGATTTTTTATTAGAGCAGCAAGTAGGCTTAATGTACCTAGTTACTTACTGATTTTAAACGTGAGCGTTGGTCTGAATCAGGAGGAGAGGCGGAAGCTGGGGCCTGTAAGCGTGTGCTGGTAGGAGTGGTAATTCTGATTTTATCAATGAGGGTTCTGTCTCAAAGAATGTTGGCTTGAGCGTCTCCTCGGAGAGCCTGAGGGTGTGACCATCGGGTGGCGGTGTCAGCGTCTTCCTATGGGCACAGCTCCCTGTGCTTTGGTTCCCTGAGAACCGGGAGGAACCGTGTCCCCTGAGGCTCTGACCTAGGGAGGCAGGAGCGCCCGAGGGGCCGTGGACTCCGTGAGCTGACCCGTCCGCTGCCGGACGGAAGGGTGGCTGGCCTCCATTCCGCAGACGCACACTCAGGCAGGCTCGGGCTCACATTCCCCGAGTGCCCGCTGTAAACAGTGCCCAGAGGGCGAGCGGAGCCCAGACTCCTTGCCGGCAGGACAGTCATGATGCAGACGTGCTCCCGGCATGTACTGCTGCACGGGCGGAAGCTGCTGTGTGGAGACAGGCAGAGAGAGTGCCATGTTAATCAGACAACCGTCTCCTCTATTTCAAATGCAACATCCATCTGTACGTATAAAAGTATGTCCATTAGCTGTGCTAAACGCAGAGCTTGTCTGCATGTTATTAACTTACTAATTGGTAAAAGGCGTGCTGGCGTATACTGTATATAAGGTTTTAAATGTGAAAGGATTGCCTCTCGGTACGTCTTGCTTAGATACAGTGGTGGTAATCATTTTGAAATGCTGGGCTGAAGTGCTGGAGCGAGAAAGACTCTTCAGGCTCCGGCTTCTTCTTTTCCTCGTCTGAAGGCCGGGTGTGTGCAGGCCAAGCTAAGAGTGATCTGTTCACGTCCGAAGGCCGGGTGTGGGCAGGCCCAGCTAAGAGTGACCTGTTCACGTCCGAAGGCCGGGTGTGTGCAGGCCCAGCTCAGAGTGATCTGTCACGTCTGAAGGCCGGGAGTGGACAGGCCCAGCTAAGAGTGATCTGTTCACGTCCGAAGGCCGGGAGTGTGCAGGCCCAGCTCAGAGTGATCTGTTCACGTCCGAAGGCCGGGTGTGGGCAGGCCCAGCTAGGAGTGACCTGTTCACGTCCGAAGGCCGGGTGTGGGCAGGCCCAGCTAAGAGTGATCTGTCACATCTGAAGGCCGGAGTGTGCAGGCCCAGCTCAGAGTGACCTGTTCACGTCCGAAGGCCGGGTGTGGGCAGGCCCAGCTAAGAGTGATCTGAGCTGAGTCTGACTGGGCTCCAGGTCTCACGTGTGTGACCCGCTCCTCCCACAGCCCCATTCCCTCTTTATATGGGTGTATCTGCCCATTTTCTTCTAAAACCTGCCATGGACGTTAAAGCCACATGCACACCGTGGCTTCAAGACTGACTGAGAAAATGGCCCTGGGTAACCCACCCGGCTTGTCATTTCCTTGAAGCTTGTGTAACCCACGTGTTTTCCTTTCTCTTCCATATCCATCTTTATGGATTTCTTCCATTTTTAAAAATCCAAATGATGTGACAAAAGTGCACCCCCCTTTGCTGAACCTAACGTCGATCATTGTTCTTCCAGGAGAAAGGGAGTCGCAGAACACACCCCGCTGTCCGGGCTGGGCCGCATCCCCGTTCACTGGAGCGGCGTCCGCTGCCGAGGAGACGAAGAGAGCCTCCAGCTGTGCGCCAGGGACGCCTGGCGGG